GGGTGAAAACCTACAGCAACTCTCTGGATGGGTTTCACAGGAACTTGAGAAGATAAAGAAATGGTGTGACAGTAATATAGTATTTCTGAATTTGGATAAAACTAAATTTATGGTATTTGGGAATCGTAGACTAGATAATGAACTTCAATTGAAAATTGGGGGAGCTAATATAGAACGAGTATATGAAATTAAATTTCTAGGTGTCATAGTTGATGACAAATTCTCCTGGAAATCTCATATCAGATATGTTCAGCACAAAATAGCAAAAAATATATTGATATTGGCAAGGGTTAGATATATTTTGGACGGGAAAGCACTATGTATTTTGTATTCTTCATTGATTTTACCATTGGGAAATACATACAAAAGCTCACTTCAACCATTGTATATATTACAAAAAAGAGTGATAAGAATTGTGCATAAGATGGGGTATAGGGATCACACCAATGTAGCTTTCATACAGTCTAAATTGTTAAAGTTTTTTGATTTAGTGGGATATAAGACTGCTGTGTTTATGTATAAAGCCAGGAACAATTTATTACCTGGTGGAATTCAAAAACTATTTAATGAAAGGGAAGGGGGATACAATTTAAGGGGTCAGTTAAATTTAAAAATTCATGTTATATGTACAACCAAAAAAAGATTTTGTATTTCCATAAGTGGGGTAAAACTATGGAATAATTTAAGTGTGGACATAAAAAATAGTAATAGAATTGACGAGTTTAAACATAAATATAAAGGTATGTGTCAATCAAGATATATGCAAGAACAGGCTTAATGATTAATTAGATGGAACATTGTGGGTGTGGTGTATGAATGTTAACACTTTGTAATAATTCTTTAGTATATTACTTGTGTGGTGTAGAAGATAATTATTTAAGAATGTAATTATGTAAGAATGTTAACACTCTGTAATAATTTTTTTAGTATATTACTTGTGTGGTGTAGAAGAGAATTATTTATGTAGCGATACTGCTTGCAAACCAATGATGTAAGATGATGTCATGGGGTAGGACTGGATAAGTCTGACTTCTTTCTACTCCATTCAAGCATGTATTAGGTATAAGCAAATTGATATTGGATTAGCATTTGTTGGATATGTGTAAAATTATGTGTGTTGACATATCAACTGTCTTTACATGCTTGAAAGAATAAATCAAATCAAATCAAATCAAAGGGTCGGAGGTCCCCCTTCCCCACTCAAAAGAATACGGTCCATATGGTTAAGGGTGTGGGAGTCAAGATCCCTGTTCACCGTGGTTGTGGTATGGACATTCCCAGGATGCGGTTAAGGTCAGGTAAGTATTTTTCTTTTTGCAGGTCCCCGGTAAGTATGTTTCTTTCCACAGGTTCCCGGTAAGTATTCCAATTAATGACGCCAATTATGTATCCCAATTTCTTTTCACAGGTCCCCGGTAGGTATTTTTTCTTTTCACAGGTTCCCGGTAAGTATGCCAATCATGAATGCCAATTATATATTCCAATTTAGTCCTAATCCAGGTAAGTAACACAAACTAGGGTTAGGGTTTGTATCCCAGCTTGGGTTTAGCAAGCCCTCCCAAATGGTTATGGTTAGGTTGGCCTCCCAGGGTGGGGTTTAAGGCCGGACTCCTGGGTTAAGATTAGGTGTAGGTCCGAATGGGTTAAGATTAGGCAAGAGTCCTAGTGGTTAAGTTTAGGTAAGGAGGCAGGGGTAGGGATAGATGTAATAGGGTTAAGGTCAGGGTCAACAGTGGGGGGGTAGTTCCCAGATCTGAGGTACTGGGTATTCAAAAAATTAGGCACGAAGCTGGAGCTGCAGGTAAGTAGTCGTTAGCTGAGGAATATTTGTCCTTCAGGTAAGTATCAATAGTGGGGGGGTGATGTCCCCTCCCCTGAGGCCTGTCGCGACGTTTCGGGCTGATTGGCCCTTCCTAAGTAATATGAACCAGGTAAGTCTCTGTCAGCAGCAATAGGTCTGCTCTCTTCGAAGGTTCGAGAGAGAATGAAAAGCGTAGAGAATGTCTCTTGCTTTTTAAAGGGGCAAATATGTGCC